GTTTTCTAGTCAAGAGGTCATACACAACTAGGGTGTTCTTGTTTAGAGAAGAGGATACACAACTAGATGTTCTTGTCAAGAGGTCATACACAACAGGGTATTCTTGTCTACAGGTCGTACACAAACTAGGTGTTCTTGTCAAGAGGTCATACACAACTGGGTGTTCTTGTGAAGAGGTCGTACACAAATAGGTGTTGTTCTTGTTAAGAGAGGATACTCAACTGGGTGTTCTTGTTAAGATGTCATACACAACTAGATGGTATGTCAAGATGTCATACACAACTAGGTGTTCTTGTTAACATGTCACACACAACTAGGAGTTCTTGTTAAGAGGTCATACACAACCAGGTGTTCTTGTTAACATGTCATACACAACTATTGTCATACACAATAACACCTAGGTGTTCTTGTTAAGAGGTCATACACAACTAGGTGTTCTTGTTAAGAGGTCATACACAACTAGATGTTCTTGTTAAGAGGTCGTACACAAATAGGTGTTCTTCTTAAGAGAGGATACTCAACTGGGTGTTCTTGTTAAGAGAGGATACACAACTAGCTGTTCTTGTTAAGAGGTCGTACACAAATAGGTGTTCTTGTCAAGAGAGCATACAAAACTAGGTGTTCTTGTCAAGAGGTGATACACAACTAGGTGTTCTTATCAAGAGATCATACACAAGTAGGTGTTCTTGTTAAGAGGTCATACACAACTACATGTTCTTGTTAAGAGTGGATTCACAACTAGATGTTCTTGTCAAGAGGTCATAGTCAACTAGGTGTTCTTGTCAAGAGGTGATACACAACTAGGTGTTCTTGTCAAGAGGTGATACACAACTAGCTGTTCTTAATAAGAGGTGATACACAACTAGCTGTTCTTGTCAAGAGATCATACACAACTAGGTGTTCTTGTCAAGAGGTGATACACAACTAGGTGTTCTTGTTAAGAGGTGATACGCAACTAGGTGTTTTTGTCAAGAGGTGATACACAACTAGGTGTTCTTGTCAAGAGGTGATACACAACTAGGTGTTCTTGTCAAGAATTCATACACAACTAAGTGTTCTTGTCAAGAGGTCATACTCAACTAGTTGTTCTTGTTAAAAGAGGATACACAACTAGGTGTTCTTGTCAAGAGGTCATACACAACTAGGTGTTCTTGTCAAGAGGTGATACACAACTAGATGGTCTGTCAAGAGGTCATACACAACTAGGTATATTTTCAGTATCAAGTATCATTGATGATGTTGAGTAGCATCAGAATGATCTCAATACGTTGTAGACGGAATGATCTGGAATATGGTACATGTTGCGTTATATTACCTCTCAGTAAGTTGTAGACGGAATGATCTGGAATATGGTACATATGACGTTATATTACCTCTCAGTAAGTTGTTGACGGAATCATCTGGAATATGGTACATATGACGTTATATTACCTCTCAGTAATTTGTAGACGGAATGATCTGGAATATGGTACATATGACGTTATATTACCTCTCAGTAAGTTGTAGACGGAATGATCTGGAATATGGTACATGTTGCGTTATATTACCTCTCAGTAAGTTGTAGACGAAATGATCTGGAATATGGTACATATGACGTTATATTACCCTCAGTAAGTTGTAGACGGAATGATCTGGAATATGGTACATGTTGCCTTATATTACCTCTCAGTAAGTTGTAGACGGAATGATCTGGAATATGGTACATATGACGTTATATTACCTCTCAGTAAGTTGTAGACGGAATGATCTGGAATATGATACATGTTGCCTTATATTACCTCTCAGTAAGTTGTAGACGGAATGATCTGGAATATGGTACATATGACGTTATATTACCTCTCAGTAAGTTGTAGACGGAATGATCTGGAATATGGTACATGTTGCGTTATATTACCTCTCAGTAAGTTGTAGACATTCTCTACTGATAGTTAACTTGAAATGTGAAACATCAGCATCTTAGTTTGAGAATAGATTGTCAAAATACATTTACATTTAACGAAAAAAACAACCATATATAATTTATCTCTCTGCAAACATATCAATAAAATTTCTTCGAATAATTCTTTCTCTTTGAAAATAAATAATACGTAAATGATAACTATCATTATTAAAAGATCCTTAATGGGAAAAAATAAATTAGCAATCCCTTGCTCTAGAAATAAATCAACACATTCAAGCAAGACATACTTTCCTGTGATTCTTTCATTACAAGAGATACAAAACGTAGGATCCTCCTGTTTTCAGTACATATTCGTGTGTGTACCTCGCGTGTCCTATACAACATCGACGGATCATGACATCTTCAAATACGCTATAATATTAGAAGACACAATAGAAAATGACAGAAAACGAATGTAACTGGGCTATAGGGTTAATTTTATAATTGGAACATTAAATTAGTAACTGAGATTGTTAGCGGCAGTGTCCTTAGAAGGGGTTCAATGTATTGTAATATTACTGTCCTCCCGTGAGGGTAACGTAAGTCCCAAAACATTCAAAGTAAATTTAGGCCTACAAGGTTTTAAAATAAATATTTGTGTTATTTTAAGTAATGGCTAAATCTGAGTATAATCGTTGGCGGCTGGAGGGATGTTGTAGCTCCAGCTAGAGTCAATCAGGTAGGGACATAGTGTAATTTCCCACGGTCTCTGAGTGGTGATCTTCTTTCACTTGTAGGTGATCTATAGTCCTTTGATATCCCCCGCAACGCGATATGATGGGGTATTAAAGTGCACACCGTCCGTCCGTACGTCCGTCCGTGCACATTTGTATTTTCGGAGCAGAACTTTAAAAGCGTTCAATATTTCTGTCACCAAACTTGGCACATAGATAGGTCTGGTGGCGAGCTGATGCCTTTGGTAGTTTTGCATATCGGAATACAGATATTTTTGGTGTTTCCATGGCAACAAGTTCGACTTTGAATGAAATTGGTGTTGTGCTCATTTCCGGAGCAGAACTTAGAAACCTTTCAACACTCTCCTTCCACCTTGCAGTATAGTCACAGACTTGGTTGACACTTATCATTGTATCCCAGTTGAGTAGATCGATGCTGATGCTGCTGATCACTGGATTATCTGGACCAGATTCTATTATTTACAGACCGCTGTGTGGCATACAGCTAAAACTCACTCACTCACTGCTAGATACGTTCCAAAACATTCGACATTGTCATGACTAGTGGACATATACATGAAGAGTATTTTGTCATTGTCTTCTTGTTTACTTTGTATTGTCTTGAACGGGGATGTCATTTTAATGTCACGTGTTAGTTTCATTTTGTTTCCCTGATAAGTTAATTGCTTTGCTGTTGATTGTTGACAGGTATTTATATCGTATAATGATTCTTTTTACGAAAGTATAGATTTCATAGTCACCATATGGACAATACAGTACCACATGAGGTGCAATATAGAGCGATGTTACTCGATATCTGTTCGTCAAGTCAAGTACCTCGGTATACTTCCCGGTAGCATCCAGTTGTTGAAGAAGGTGTAGTCATGAGATTCACGCTGATTCCAGATGACCTGAATCAAATCAATTCATTTAGGATCGTGTCCTTCCTCTGAAATCCCACATTACGCCCAACTTTGGGGAGCCTGGCACAAGAGAGACAACTCAAACTCACCCGTCCGATGTCACGAGTTTCGGGAGCGGGAGCACAATAAACAAAACTCACCTGGAAGTACTATGTCACGAGGGTCGGGAGCGGGAGCACAATAAACAAAACTCACCTGGAAGTACCATGTCACGAGGGTCGGGATCGGGAGCACAATAAACAAAACTCACCTGGAAGTACCATGTCATGAGTTTCGGGATCGGGAGCACAATAAACAAAACTCACCTGGAAGTACCATGTCATGAGTTTCGGGATCGGGAGCATTATAAACAAAACTCACCTGGAAGTACCATGTCACGAGTTTCGGGATCGGGAGCATTATAAACAAAACTCACCTGGAAGTACCATGTCACGAGTGTCGGGATCGGGAGCACAATAAACAAAACTCACCTGGAAGTACCATGTCACGAATGTCGGGATCGGGAGCACTATAAACAAAACTCACCTGGAAGTACCATGTCACGAGGGTCGGGATCGGGAGCATTATAAACAAAACTCACCTGGAAGTACCACGTCACGAGTTTCGGGATCGGGAGCACAATAAACAAAACTCACCTGGAAGTACCATGTCACCATAAGCGGGAACGGGAGCACTATAAACAAAACTCACCTGGAAGTAGTGTGTGTCTGTGCGTGCTCACGTGCGTGTGTGTAATGTGTGTTATGTGCACACGCGTATGTGTGGTAATTCTATATATGGCGAGTGTTCACATATTATCGTGAACAATTTATTAATGGATGATGTATCTTTGAAAGGCGGGAAAAGTTTATCCGCAGCCACGTATGCTGTGAAGGTTATGATGTGTCTTCAATACCACATCAACCGAGAACTACCATGACAGATTCCACTCCACATCCAAATCTCGGCCAAAAGTTTCTTTTTCACTCTGTATCTTATGCGATATATCTCTTTTTCAACTTTGCCAATCTGAGCAGATATTCCGATTCCACTGCTCTGATTTCAATAAGACTGGAAATAGTTTCGGTTTTTTTATTACAATTTATATGATTATGAACATATTTTGCATTTGTCCTACTTCTACTTCCTTGTCAATTACTTATCTACATGGATGCAATGTGTTCCATTCCTGGTGTCCCCCGCCGTGATGTTGCTGGAATAATGCTAAAAACGGCGTAAAACCATACTTACTCATTGAGTTCCTTATCAATGACACCCGACAGTGCTAGTTTTATCCACTTTTCAACGGGAAATGAAAAAATGACACAATCTGACATCATGGCGTTCACTTCAAACAGTTTCATAATGTCCGGTTTCAAATTCCCAAATGATAACACAATCCAAGTCCCGGGTAATGCCCCCATTTGGATAACCACTATAAGTGAACGAGATTAAGGACAGTAAAACTGATATTAATATCAAGAATAAAGATTGCATATTTTATTGCTCTCTGAATGTTGGATTAAAGATGTACAATGACTGGTCCCGTTTCTTCTTCTGTGTCTCGGGCAGTATGTTGACAGGTGCGTGCTTCGCCTTCATCTTCTCCGGCCTGTGACTCTGCATCCTCCCGACCTTGTCTTTCCCTGAAACAGATGAAGCAGGATCATTAGCACGACCAGCATGTTACAATTGTATCAGTCATGTTGCTCTTGCGTTTACTCAGTGGTGTTTTAATTAGTGGACAGCAACCCATCTTGTCTCTAAATATAAATAACATCAGGTGAGTTGCCAATGAACTTAATCTAACAGTATAAATGTGGTGTAGTTAGTGGTGATGGTGTAACCTACCTGTTTGTGGACAACCCTCTGCGGTACCAGCAGCAACCACACAGACCTGTTGCTAGGATACAGATGGCAGCCAGCACCAGATACTTCACTGTCTCTATGTCTACTAGTGGAACATCTGAAAGTAATAAATAACACAATCGGAACTATGTTTTTACTGAAAATGGTCAAATGTTATTGAAACATTATCTGGGAATTCATCATGTCAGTATGTTGGCGTTAGAGGTTTATGTTTCTTACACTTTGTATTAGCATATGGCCCATAACTAAATTTACAGTGTTTCTTTTCTTTTCTCAAAGAAGACAATATGTAATTACCGGTCCAATATAATCTATGTTTTCAAGATAAGTCAGTACCTACAGTCAGTTCCTTATGTGAAACTGTAAAATGCTGCTTCACTTTTGATATATGATCATATTATGTAGGACAATTCAAGGTTGTGATTCCAGAATTAACTACGGGCTCTATTGTGTGGCAGTCCGTAAGGCCCTTGAGTATCACTAACCTGTGCGACAAGACCCCGGAGGACAGCCAGGTGATGACACGTTGTGTGAGCAGTTGTACCTACACCCAGTGACGTTGTGTTCACTGGAGTTTGTAACAACTGCATCAATACATGCAGTACATACATTACAGGGCACCACACAATCAGATGAACCATTGCTGCAACCACTGCAACAAGACATACAGTACATACATTACATGGCACCACACAACCAGATGAACCATTGCTGCAACCACTGCAACAAGACATACAGTACATACATTACAGGGCACCACACAATCAGATGAACCATTGCTGCAACCACTGCAACAAGACATACAGTACATACATTACAGGGCACCACACAATCAGATGAACCATTGCTGCAACCACTGCAACAAGACATACAGTACATACATTACATGGGCACCACACAATCAGATGAACCATTGCTGCAACCACTGCAACAAGACATACAGTACATACATTACAGGGCACCACACAACCAGATGAACCATTGCTGCAACCACTGCAACAAGACATACAGTACATACATTACAGGGCACCACACAATCAGATGAACCATTGCTGCAACCACTGCAACAAGACATACAGTACATACATTACAGGGCACCACACAATCAGATGAACCATTGCTGCAACCACTGCAACAAGACATACAGTACATACATTACATGGCACCACACAATCAGATGAACCATTACTGCAACCACTGCAACAAGACATACAGTACATACATTACAGGGCACCACACAATCAGATGAACCATTACTGCAACCACTGCAACAAGACATACAGTACATACATTACAGGCACCACACAATCAGATGAACCATTGCTGCAACCACTGCATCAAGACATACAGTACATACATTACAGGGCACCACACAATCAGATGAACCATTGCTGCAACCACTGCAACAAGACATACAGTACATACATTACAGGGCACCACACAATCAGATGAACCATTGCTGCAACCACTGCAACAAGACATACAGTACATACATTACAGGGCACCACACAATCAGATGAACCATTGCTGCAACCACTGCAACAAGACATACAGTACATACATTACATGGCACCACACAATCAGATGAACCATTGCTGCAACCACTGCAACAAGACATACAGTACAGTACATACATTACATGGCACCACACAATCAGATGAACCATTGCTGCAACCACTGCAACAAGACATACAGTACATACATTACAGGGCACCACACAATCAGATGAACCATTGCTGCAACCACTGCAACAAGACATACAGTACATACATTACATGGCACCACACAATCAGATGAACCATTGCTGCAACCACTGCAACAAGACATACAGTACATACATTACATGGCACCACACAATCAGATGAACCATTACTGCAACCACTGCAACAAGACATACAGTACATACATTACATGGCACCACACAATCAGATGAACCATTGCTGCAACCACTGCAACAAGACATACAGTACACACATTACAGGGCACCACACAATCAGATGAACCATTACTGCAACCACTGCAACAAGACATACAGTACATACATTACATGGCACCACACAATCAGATGAACCATTACTGCAACCACTGCAACAAGACATACAGTACATACATTACATGGCACCACACAATCAGATGAACCATTACTGCAACCACTGCAACAAGACATACAGTACATACATTACATGGCACCACACAACCAGATGAACCATTACTGCAACCACTGCAACAAGACATACAGTACATACATTACATGGCTTTCACAATATACACAGATTACTGACACCAATAATTGGTGATACCATTGCTGCAACCACTGCAACCTGACATCAGTCACATACAGTTTGGCAATATATGGCACCACACAACCGGATGCCGACCATTGCTGCAACCACTGCAACAAGACATACAGTTTGCATACATCCGGCAGTACATGATCTGCACCCACAATAAATTTCACAATAAACAATCACTGCAACAAGACATACAACAAGATTGTTTTCAGATGAACCATTCGCAACCACTGCATTGTGCAATTACGCGGTCAAGACATGCAGTACATAAAAGATACAATGCCAGTTTGTTAAAATGGTATTATTGTTATTGCATATTTTGTTTCTGTTTGATACTGTTATTGATTATACTTATTAAAGATGCAGTTTCAAACCTCATAACAATTTGTTGCTTACATTTTAAAGATCGAACCACTTTGAGAACTATTTCTTCAAGGGTTGGGATACATGTGTAAAAGAAAAATCGCTGACAACCATTAAGCTGCAACCAGAACATACATGGCAGTACATACATTACAGGGCACCACACAATCAGATGAACCATTGCTGCAACCACTGCAACAAGACATGCAGTACATACATTACATGGCACCACACAATCAGATGAACCATTACTGCAACCACTGCAACAAGACATACAGTACATACATTACATGGCACCACACAACCAGATGAACCATTACTGCAACCACTGCAACAAGACATACAGTACATACATTACATGGCACCACACAATCAGATGAACCATTACTGCAACCACTGCAACAAGACATACAGTACATACATTACATGGCACCACACAATCAGATGAACCATTGCTGCAACCACTGCAACAAGACATACAGTACATACATTACAGGGCACCACACAATCAGATGAACCATTACTGCAACCACTGCAACAAGACATACAGTACATACATTACATGGCACCACACAACCAGATGAACCATTACTGCAACCACTGCAACAAGACATACAGTACATACATTACAGGGCACCACACAATCAGATGAACCATTGCTGCAACCACTGCAACAAGACATACAGTACATACATTACAGGGCACCACACAATCAGATGAACCATTGCTGCAACCACTGCAACAAGACATACAGTACATACATTACAGGGCACCACACAATCAGATGAACCATTACTGCAACCACTGCAACAAGACATACAGTACATACATTACATGGCACCACACAATCAGATGAACCATTACTGCAACCACTGCAACAAGACATACAGTACATACATTACATGGCACCACACAATCAGATGAACCATTACTGCAACCACTGCAACAAGACATACAGTACATACATTACAGGGCACCACACAATCAGATGAACCATTGCTGCAACCACTGCAACAAGACATACAGTACATACATTACAGGGCACCACACAACCAGATGAACCATTGCTGCAACCACTGCAACAAGACATACAGTACATACATTACAGGGCACCACACAATCAGATGAACCATTGCTGCAACCACTGCAACAAGACATACAGTACATACATTACAGGGCACCACACAACCAGATGAACCATTGCTGCAACCACTGCAACAAGACATACAGTACATACATTACAGGGCACCACACAATCAGATGAACCATTACTGCAACCACTGCAACAAGACATACAGTACATACATTACATGGCACCACACAATCAGATGAACCATTGCTGCAACCACTGCAACAAGACATACAGTACATACATTACATGGCACCACACAACCAGATGAACCATTGCTGCAACCACTGCAACAAGACATACAGTACATACATTACATGGCACCACACAATCAGATGAACCATTGCTGCAACCACTGCAACAAGACATGCAGTACATACATTACAGGGCACCACACAACCAGATGAACCATTACTGCAACCACTGCAACAAGACATACAGTACATACATTACATGGCACCACACAATCAGATGAACCATTGCTGCAACCACTGCAACAAGACATACAGTACATACATTACAGGGCACCACACAACCAGATGAACCATTGCTGCAACCACTGCAACAAGACATACAGTACATACATTACAGGGCACCACACAATCAGATGAACCATTGCTGCAACCACTGCAACAAGACATACAGTACATACATTACAGGGCACCACACAACCAGATGAACCATTGCTGCAACCACTGCAACAAGACATACAGTACATACATTACAGGGCACCACACAATCAGATGAACCATTACTGCAACCACTGCAACAAGACATGCAGTACATACATTACAGGGCACCACACAATAAGGTGCCAGATGTACCATTGCTGCAACCACTGCAACAAGACATACAGTACATACATTACAGGGCACCACACAATCAGATGAACCATTGCTGCAACCACTGCAACAAGACATGCAGTACATAC